ACCAGACGGAGTAATAGGCTTCGCTAATCGCTCAGCCAATGATTATAAAAGATTATGGATTATAGACGTGATTACAAGTGATTATAGGGTTGTGTACTTTTGATTATACGAGTTGCAGACCCCTCGTAAAATTCCCAATGTTTTATTGGCTGAGCGATTAGCGAAGCCTATTACTCCGCCTGGTCGGAAAAAACTTTTTCTGCCTGTCTGTGTGTCTGTGTATCTGTCCGCACAAATACTCGGACACGAATTTAGCGAGCGACCTGGGATTTTCAGAGTCGTTTTGTGTCATAACAAGGTAGATGTACGCTAGACCACGTCTCGCGTAACAGGCTTCGCGATACCTCACGAAACACTGTTACGCTGCGACGCGCCTGGCATACATCTACCTTGGCCTGCGGCGCTGACACCCGAGTCAGGTAGTGCAAAAATATTTACAAAGATACGGGCCTCCGGCCCGTCAACGCCCGTCACTTCGACTAATCATGCAGGGTTGTACATTTCTTCGCTTATTTTCATCAAAAACACCCTCAAGCGCCTCAACGGTTGGAGCTAGACCAAAGGTCGCTCACTCAATTCGTTTTCGAGTTTTCGTGCGGACAGATACACAGACACACAGACAGACACACAGACAGACAGACAGACAGACAGACAGAAAAAGTTTTTTCCGACCAGACGGAGTAATAGGCTTCGCTAATCGCTCAGCCAAAAAGACTGATCGAGTTTGAAGATGAGCATTCTAGCTCAAAAATTGGATTTCTAAAGAATCAAAAACAACAGGTCTCAAAAATGAGGCTTCAAAATTATTTTTATTATGGTTTCCTAAGGGGTAACTAAACAGAACAAAGCGCTATGGGCGAAAATTTTGATCCGTTTTGCTCTAGTTCAAACCGTTGAGACGCTAGAGCAGGGGTCGCAAACTCGCGACTCCCGAGCCAAGCCGAAGGCCCGTAGCTTTGTGTACATTTTCCAACTACCCGACTCGGGTGTCAGCGCCGCAGGCCAAGGTCAGAGATATGTTGTTCTGAAGAGAGTACAACAAAAATTGCTGCGAAACTAATTCTCGAGCAATAGACCATTCCACCGACTGTGGAAGAAAGAAAAGAATCAAAAAGCACCGGAAACAGTATAGATAAACAGATCAAATCGTTTACTTTTTCTTGTTTTCTTGACCAAGATAATAGGGTATTCCGCTGCTAGCCAACCGGAACCTAATGAAGAAAAGCATGACTGCTCGATCAGTAGGGTATTTCAATGGAGCGCTGCCCGGAACTAAAAAGAACAAAACCGGATACAGAGAGCTGTGGTGGGGGCGGGCGCGCGGAGGAGTGGCGGGTGGAGAAGAGCCTCCCCGCCCGCCCCC